AATAGGTCACTTTGGAAGCCACTAAAAGCAGCAGACAAAAGATAGGCCCCTTGTTGGAAACCTTGCCTCCTTTACCTTTGGCAGTTGTCTTTGCCTCCCTCTTGGTATAAACTGGACAGAATAATTAATTTATTCTGGCTGTAAATGTGAAGCCTGAAATGCCCTGGCCTGTGACCATTTCATAGCAAAAGCTGAACGTTTTTCATTCTTGAAAACCCAGTTGTGTTGATCAGTGCCCTGGGTGAGAAACAATTAAAATGTGATAAAAAAAAAAATGTCTTAGTTTGCAGACCACCATCATTTCCCCAGTTGTGAAAATCTAATTTGAGCTAAACTTTCAGAAGAATCCTAGTAAGCAAGGTAGAAAACCAGTTTTAGAGTATTTTATCTTTGGGAATTAGGCTTGCTTAACCCAAATCTAGCGGGTGCTGAGTGGCTATTGAGCTGCACAGCATGCTGTTGCTCTCCATTTAAAAATCAGAACCACCCTCATTGCTAAGTGTTCTATCCTGTTTGAGACACTGAAGAAGTACTTGTGGTACCTCTCCTTTAAAGACCCTGAGGTGTGATTTGGACATCTCATTGAACTTTGAGCTCATACACATCTTTGCTTTGGAAACAGGACCTGACTTCCACTTTAGTGTACCTTTTTAGTAACATCTCTCAGGCAGTGTGAGTGGCCTCAGAGCACTGTAACCTGGGTCTCTTTCCCCCAGGGGGATTTTGCATCACCACGTGTATTTAAACTTCAAGTATGTGGGCTTTTTGTTGAATTGCTGTCTCTGGGAATCATATCACTTTGCCTTCCTGCTACAACAGAACAACTCTGTCGTATTGTTTCATATTCTTGCAAATGCTGTGGTCATACATAAACACAAACCAGTTCTTAAAGTTATTTATTTCTTTATTTGTATATGGAGTGGGATGGGGGTAGGGCACATGTGCCATGGCATGCATTGGAAGTCAGAGGACAACTTAGGGGAGTCATTCTCATCTCCTACTATGTGGAACTCAGGTCATCAAGCTTGGTAGCAGGTGACTTTACACATTGAGCTACATTATTGGCCAAGGACAATCTGCCTTATCCTCAAACCATAAGCTGAGTTCTTTATATTTCAGTGAAAGGTTCTTCAGCTATGAAACTGGATTCTTGAGTGTGACATGGAGCATGAACAGCAGTGTGACAAGCTGTTCTGCCAGCCACATTCATTCCCAGTGCATTGTTTCCCCAATAATCTACAGTCCCTTTCCTGTCACACTTTCATGGAACAATGAGTCTGTCCCTGGGGTCTCCATTCTATTCCTCTGACCTTTGCTTGTTCCTATGCTGAGACTGTGCTGTACCTCAGTATCAAACACACACAAATTGTTGGTATTTGGAAGAACTGGTTTTCCATTCATGACCATTCTTTTTTAAAGTTGGCTTGCCTATCCTTGGGCCTTTTGTTTTCAAGACAGGGTTTCTCTGTTTAGCAGCTCTAACTGTCCTAGAAGTCTCTTTGTAGACCAGGCTGGCTCAAACTCACTGAGATCAGCTTGACAGGTATGTGCCACCTCACCACTGGGCCTTTACTTTTCCATATAGGTTTTGTAATCAGGATGTCAAAGTCTATAAAAATTTTGCAGACATTTTTATTTTCATAGGAATTATATTAATGTTGGAATTGGCAGATGAAGTCCTTGGAATTTTAAATCTTTCCACCTGTAAACTTGACATACTTCCTTATAGAGTTATTTATTAAAACCTTTTAATGAAATATTTGTTTACAGAATGCTTGCCTATCTTTTTCTAAGATAGCATCTTTTTATTGCTTCAACTTTTGTTTATTGACAACCAACAACACTGACTTGTGTGTTCCATATCTGTGCTGTGGATTTTAAATGCATTCAGCTTTAAAGACAATGTATACAATACAGTTTTTGTCTGAATTTCATATTCATACTAGAAACAGTGTAAGGTGGACAATGAGAGTACATGGGCATTCCATGGTAGCATACTAGCCATTCCCATTGGGAATTGATGGGATATGTACAGTCAGAAAGAAGCCACAGACAGATTGGCTCAGTTGAAGAAGGACCCCCAGAAGAGATGGGTGAAAGGTCCAGTAGCATTTTGATCACTAGATAAAATATAGAAAGAAAACTTGTACATAAACATGGGTATACTTTGTTAACAGAGGATTGTTTACTTTGTAAGAATGTATTGTGGATTGAGTATTGTGTAAGGGTGAAGAGTGGCCAGATATTGGAGGGCCTTGAATGTCAGGATCAAGATTTGTACCTTGTCTTCTAGAAAGTCTCCCAAAGCTGGAGGATCTCTTGAACATTAATAGTTAACTTTTGAGTTCTTTCCACAAAGAGATAGTTGGTCAGGGCAGACAGGCTTATATTGTATCTTTTAAACTCATTTTGATTTAAAGTTATAGAGAAGTTGCTCTACATGAAATCAGATGTGTGGAAGAAAAGTTATAAAGCTAGGATAGAGGGAATCAACCTCAAATATTGAGACAGTCTGGAGTTCTCAGACCTTCCCAAGACAGGTGACCAGAGATGTAATACACAATGTATCTCACTTTACTTTTGGGGGTGGGGTGGATGTTATAGCTATATTTTATTTTCAAATTAATCCATTGCGCATGTTAGTAGGTTATCATTGATGCCATTATATATATAATTACATAATCAAATAATATTCAAATCAAGTTAAGTATGCCTCTTCAAGCACTTTTATTTTCTTATGTCTTGAGAGAGATGGAGAGAGAGAGAGAGCAAGCGCGAGAGAGAGAGAGAGAGGGGGGGGGAGAGAGAGAGAGAGAGAAATGGCTTGGAACACACCATGTAACCTGTAGTAAACTCACAACAATCAGTGTTCCTGCCTCAGTCTCCCAGTGCTAGAATTACAGGTATAAGCTATCATCTCTAGCTTCAGTTATTACTTTAGGGTAAAAAGTCTCTGTTTCCCCATAAACATCCAAAATATACAGTACATAATTACAATGCATAGTCACTTTGTCATGCAATAACACACTAGAAGTACTTCTATTATTTAGTGCCCATTAATCATCCTTTTCTCACTCCAAAAAGATCTTATTATGTGGGGTTTTTAAAGTTGTTTTCATGGTGTGGAATTAAGGTCACATGATACGGGTTAGGGCTCATTGGGAAATAGTAAGAAAGGCACATCTCTCTGGGGGCATCCATGATTCTCATTGAGTCCTCATTATTCTCAATTGCCTGAGAAATAATTTATTTTGTCATCCTCAAAGTTTCCTTTTAAAAATTCCATTCCAAATTATGCATGCATTTTTCCACACTAAGCATCATTCATTTCATTTCCTGGAAGAGTAAGATTGTAGAAGAAAGAGACATCTCAGTCCCATTGGCAGTTGTGTCTCGATGGTGAAAGAGGGAGCTGACAGGGACTGAAGCGGGATGAACATCATGAACCAGAGGTGTGGCTGCCTGCTGTTAGAGAGCGCTTCAAGTAGGTGCGATTTTAACTTTTTCAAAGTCTAGGAGACTGCACTCTGAAATAACTGTGGTGCTTATGGGGCCCCAGCCTGCACAAGGGAAATATAAGGAGTTAGTCTTTCTCATGAATGCCATTGTTCCTGGGAGATAGGCTAGAAAATTCTGCTAGATGTTTGACTCTTGAAGCCAAGTAGAGGTTCTGGACAATCCTAGCTTTTTGTTCCTCTCTTCATCTTCAACTCCTCCTCATTTAGCTCTCCTATTTCCTACTTTTCTTCTTGGCTTTCATCTTCAGTAGCAGAGAAAAGAATCCCTAACCATCTCAGTGTGAGAAGAGGGCAACAGGAGTCTAGCTTGCTGTCTGAAGAACCCTGTCCTGAAATGAGGCACTGTCAACCACTCACTGTGGTCTAGGTGACAGCCTACCCCCAAAGATTGGAGATCCCATAAGATTCCTTGAGAATAATAGCTCCAAATATCTTGGCTCATTACTAAGGTAGTATCTCAGTTCTTCCCTTACAGCCTTTTCTGTGATGCTGGGGTGGAGATTAAAATTTATCCCATTTCAGATTTGCCAACCACAGCCAGTAGGGATTGCTAGACTGAGATTGCAGCCCTAAAAGTCAGAGGGGGAAACCTCTTGATTCATCAACTATCACCTGAACAGTGTCAAAGCTTTATGGCAATATCAGTTAGTTCTTGCAACAGCCATTGGTTCAAGTCTGAGGGTTAGTCACTACTCTCTGAACATTCTCAGGGACACTACAATCATCTGCCCATGCCCTTTCCTTGGAGTTCCAAGCCCAGCCCTCAGAAGTGAGTCAGTCTTGAGAACAACATCATCTCAATCTAAGTTTAACAATTCTAATCTCTCTTCTTTGACAGCCTGTTTCTTTGGAGACTGCTAAGCCTGTCTCTGGAGCTTCCGATTCCATAGCTCTGAATGGGATCAATAATTTGTATTTTCAGTACATTCTTATGTGATGCTGGCCTCATATAGCCCAAGGCCACATTCTGATGATGATTCATCTGAACAAAATGGCCTGTTCCCAATGACTTTTCTTAAGACTCTCACAGGGATCCTTAGAAATAGTATCCCTAAGTCAACCCAACTACTATTGAGTTAGTAATGTTTTGAAGGCAGAATTGGGCAAGGCCTAGATCTTATTGTTTGCCAATATAGTAAAGAAGGAAGTAGTAAGATCACATGTAAGATTCAAGAATAGCATGTGCTACTTCTGAAAGTTTCTGGACCAATAGGCACTGAGCAAATCCCCCCCACTCTCCCCTCTCCTTATTCCCCTATTATTTTCTTATTTTCCCATACCAATTTCACATACTCTTTTTTATTCCCACTGAATATACTTCCTTTTTTACAGTTTCTGATTAATTCCTTCAGTTATTATTTTTCTAATAACACTGATTGAGTATTCTCTTTGAAATTTGCTATCCCTATTATCCATGCTCTGCAAAAAGCTCTTGAAGTTTTTCAACTACAATCATTCCTTAGCACTGAGTACATTTTTTTGTTTGTTTGTTTTGTTTTGTTTTTATGGTGGACAAGGACTTACAGACAAGTATAAAAGTAAGATCTTTTTACAAGCCAGAACTCATTGCTCAGTATGAGCCTTGATTATATATGAAGGAATATGATGGCCCCCTAGTCCCCCCAAAAAATTGTTCATTAGAAACCTGGAAACCAGTATGGTTTTATCACCTCTTATAAGGCATCAATGTTATGCTATCATATATGCCTTTGTATTACTGAATATATGTATTTTGTTTTTGAAGTAAAAGAAAAACAAACAAAAACACTTCATTTGCCTCTCTGTCCATTATAGATGCCTAGTTACAAATTAAAGAACACAACACAAATACTTCACAAGGAAAGGCATTTGAAAATGAAAGAAAAGTCAGCTCCTCCTTTCAAATAGCACAGCTAGCCTTCAGAGCATGCCAGCTAAGAAAAAGGTGTCATTTATGGTAACAGGAAGACTGAGCTCTTCCTCTTTGGGTGATAGCTGAATTTTTATTGGCAGCTCTAGTAAAATATGTAAGTTCTCACTTGTTCTTAGCAAGGTTTCCCCCTTCCGGCCCCAGTTTTTCTTCAAATAATACCTTTACTCTCCCAGTAGAATTAGAAAATTTGGTGAGTTTGAACAGGAAGGTTTTGACTGTAATCGGTCACTTTAAATCATGTATTGGCTATGTAGAGAAGAAAGGATATGGGAGAATGGTGGGAAGGTGAGTGACAGAAATGGTTCACTGAACACACTGGAAGACAGCAAGCATTTAAAAGCTGTTTGCTGTATCTCTCCAAGGCCCAAACTGTGGCCATGGTGAGGGCAAACACTGGTAGCAGCACCATAGCTATAGGAATACCACTTGGTTCTCCTTCACCTTGATGTGCTATAGGTCCATTCTGCACCAGTAACCTATGTTGTACTCTCAGGGACACAGCATATCCTGCATTACGAAACAGGTCTACAGCATCCTGGTGTAGCAGGTTCTTTCTTTCTTTCTTTCTTTCTTTATTTATTTATTTATAATTTTTTATTTAATTTTATATAACAAAGTCCAATTAAATGAAAACAAACATTTATACACAATATTTGGGAATTTGGGCGTCGTTCTTTCCAAACTACTTCCTGCTGGTAAGGGGCGCTGTCTTGGGGGATTCGAAGAAGATTCAGATATCCTGGCTGTAGTCTGTAGGGCTGTTTTGTTCAGCTGTTTTGAATGTAGGATCAGCTTGTACTCTGTTTCAGGCGGTCTGGCTTGATCAAACCACATTAGTCTGGAAGGAATCCACATCTTTTCATTTTCTGTGGAAACAAAAATAGAAATCCTTTTCCCCAGTAACTTGTCCTTCAACTTAAATTTTGGAGTCAAAGCATTATTTTTTTTAAATTTATTATTTTACATGTCGATCCCAGTTCCCTCTCCCTCCCTCCCTCCCTCCTTTTTACCCTTTCTGCCCTCTCACATGCACTCTAAACACCCTCCCCTCCCATCCCCCCACCACAATTCCATATGTAGGGGAATGCCATCCAGTTGGGGTCATGTAGATCTGACAGGTCCTGTGAAGTAGGGACTAGGGCTTCTCTCCTGTCTCTAGAATAAGGCAGCTATCCCTCTATGGGGGATATGTTCACAAAGTCCTTTTGTGCACCAGGGATACATCCTGGCTCCATTGTCTGAGGTCTCTTAGACTGCTCAGACCTTCTGGCTGAGACCCATATTCAGGGGGGCCCGAGTCAGTCCCCTGCTGGCTTCCCAGCTATCAGTCTAGTGGCCCTTAACTCCTCCTTGTTCAGGTAAGCTGTCTCTATGTGCTTCTACCGCATGGTCTTGTCCTCTCCATCTGTTTCTGGGTTCTAGTTTGACTCAGTGTTTATGTATGGGTGTTTGCTCCTATTTTCAACAGGCATTAGTTGAGGGCTCCATGGAGAAGTTAGTTGTTGATCTCACTCTCCGGGAAGGGCATTTATGATAGCCTTTCCCCGGAAGCTGAGATTGTTAGTTGGGAGCAGTCTTGTAGTTCTCTCGACCTTTCTTTGTGTTCACCTTTATCTTCAAACCAATATTGGCTCCCTCTTTTATGTTCTCTCTCTGTGTCTCTGTCTCTCTCTCTCTCTTTCCTATCTTCCATTCCTAACCAGGCTCAATCCTCCTGGTTGCACATGACTTCCTCTCCTCCCAGTTCTGTGAGGGACTTTATATGAATCTCTTAGAATACACCTTGTATCCTAGTTCCTCTGGTGGTGTGAATTATAGGCTGGTGATCATTTGATCTAGTTCTAAAATCCATATATGAGTGAGTACATACTGTGTTCCTCTTTTTGTGACTGGGTTACCTCATTCAGGATGGTTTCTTCAAGTGCCATCCACTTGCCTGGGAATTTCAAGATATCATTATTTTTTTCTGCAGAGTAGTATTCCATTGTGTAGATGTGCCACATCTTCATTAACCATTCTTCAATTTAAGCTCTACTACAGAGCTATAGTTCTGAAAACAGCCTGGTATTGGCATAAAAATAGACAGGTAGACCAATGGAATCGAATTGAAAATCCTGATATTAATCCATGCACCTATGAACACCTGATTTTCGACAAAACAGCTAAAATTATACAATGGGGCAAAGACAGCATCTTCAACAAATGGTGCTGGCACAATTGGATGAGGGTGTGTAGAAGACTGCAGATAGACCCATGTCTGTCGCCATGCACAAAACTCAAGTCCAAATGGATCAAAGACCTCAACATCAATCCAGCCACATTGAACCTCTTAGAAGAGAAAGTAGGAGGTACCCTTGAACAAATTGGTATAGGAGACCGCTTCTTGAACATAACTACAGGGGCACAGACACTGAAAGAAACAATTAATAAATGGGACCTCTTCAAACTTAGAAGCTTCTGTAAGGCAAAGGACACAGTTGACAAGACCAAATGGCAGCCCACTGACTGGGAAAAGATTTTCACTAATCCTATATCTGACAAAGGGCTGATCTCCAAAATACACAAAGAACTCGGGAAACTAGTCAACAAAACACCAAATAACCCTATTAAAAATGGGGTACAGAACTGAAGAAAGAATTCTCAATGGAGGAAATCAAAAAGGCTGAAAGACACTTAAGAAAATGCTCCACATCCTTAGCTATCAGGGAAATGCAAATCAAAACAACTTTGAGATACCATCTTACCCCTGCCAGAATGGCTAAAATTAGAAACACCAGTGATGACTTATGTTGGAGAGGATGTGGAGAAAGTGGAACACTCCTCCACTGCTGGTGGGAGTGCAAACTCATACAGCCATTTTGGAGATCAGTATGGCGGTTCCTCAGGAAAATGGGAATTAGTTTACCACAGGACCCGGCAATCCCCCTCTTAGGCATATACCCAAAGGATTCACATCCATGCAACAAAGACATCTTTTCAACTATGTTCATAGCAGCACTATTTGTAATAGCAAGAACCTGGAAGCAACCTAGTGTAGCAGGTTCTTTAGGTCTTGGCCATTTACACAGAGGGTCTTATCACCCTCCTGGAGCCACCCATCCCGGGCTGCAGCCCCATCTGCTGATGTAGATGCCACTGTTGTTGGAGATATAACTGTTGATCTGTCCCACGGTCGATGTTGAAACCCAGCCCCAAGGGTCCTCTCGTCAGGTTGATCTCTTCCTCCGTAACTGAATAATCCACCCATTCGTTCATGTCTGACGGCTCACCGGGTGGAAGCCTGGGGTCAGCCACTGCTCCGCGCGGATGAAGGTGAATCAAGCTCCCTGCAGCGTCCTCAGCATAGCTTTTACAGTTTCCTCGGCCGTGGGACCAGAAGCCCCACTGAATATACTTACCACTGCCAGTATATACCCGGATATAAGGCCACCCACTAGAGAGTGGGTAGCTCTTCTGTATCCCTGAAGAAAACCAAGTTTGCCTTTCTCATCAGCCATCAATTGCCAATAGTACCTCAGCTATTTAGAGTGCATGTGAGAGGGCAGAGAGGGTAAAAGGGAGGGAAGGAGAGAGGGAGGGCTGGGGGGAGGGAGGGAGGGAGGGAGAGGGAACTGGGATCGACATGTAAAATAATAAATTAAATTTAATAAAAAATGCTTTGACTCCAAAATTTAAGTTGAAGGACAAGTTACTGGGGAAAAGGATTTCTATTTTTGTTTCCACAGAAAATAAAAAGATATGGATTCCTTCCAGACTAATGTGGTTTGATCAAGCCAGACCACCTGAAACAGAGTACAAGCTGATCCTACATTCAAAACAGCTGGACAAAGCAGCCCTACAGACTACAGCCAGGATATCTGAATCTTCTTCGAATCCCCCAAGACAGCGCCCCTTACCAGCAGGAAGTAGTTTGGAAAGAACGACGCCCAAATTCCCAAATATTGTGTATAAATGTTTGTTTTCATTTAATTGGACTTTGTTATATAAAATAAAATAAAATTAAATTAAAAAAATATCTGAAAAAAAAAAAAAAAAAAGAACTTCATGACCCTCTCCCATGCTCCTGCTAGGATTGTATCTGATTTGAGCCTGTGCAGGTCTTGTGTATATAGTCACAGCTGTTGTGAGCTCATGTGTGTAACAGCCCTGTTACATCTGAAAAAGGCTGTCGCTGTAATCACTTATCATCTATCTCTAAGTCACCAGGACATGGAGAAATCAAGTCGGAACTGATCTGGAAGCTTCTTCCCCGCTATACTGGCTAGCATTCGCAGCACTGGGACATGTTATGCATCCTATCAGGGAAGAAAGGCAAACAACAGTCTACCCATGTGTAAACTCTGAAAGATGCAACAACTACTGGACTGACAACTGCACCTTTGTTTGTTCTCCATACTTTTTACTTACAGATATATCTGACAGTATTTTTTCTCTGCCCTGAATATTCTAAGAGACGTGATCCTAAATCACTGCTGGCAAAATACAAAAACATAGAATCAGCCATAAATAAAACTGCTTTCCCATGCATCTCCACTACTCGTTCATGCTTAGCTTGATAAGTTATGAGATGAGGTCAGAAAAGCAGAACGTTGAACTGTAAAATCAAAGGGCCACACATTCAATGAAGGACAAGAAAATGAGGGCACCAAAATCTACTGAGATATTTCTATAGCTAAGGAATAAATGACCAACC